CCAATGTACCATACAACATATCACTCTCCTACAAGGGATGTTTACTACATCAAATAGACTGAAGAACAGTGCACATTGCTCATACAGTCTCTGTTCATGAGAAAATAACATTCAGTACTCGTGGGTCAGTCAAATATTTCATATTAAAGGCCTTGTTAAACTGTTTCAATCATTTACTCTGTTCAGTCCGAGTCATAGGTAGTCATTCCTATGTTAATCTCTTACTTTGGTCTATCAACCAATTCTATTCATATTCAGCTGAATCCTCTGTACGTCTTGTACTCAAAAACGCCTTTGACCAGGAATTTTTTTTTGTCTCCCATCCATCTAATTCACCCAGGCTACGAGACAGATCGACACTCCATCCTTCGTCCCGAATGAATTCATCGTTAGTCTTTCGACTGTCTTCATATTTCAGCAACCTGAGGTAGATGCCTATCTACCCCACACTAGAGAGTGTCAGTCATCTCTAGACTCTTTTGAGCTTTTATGTTCACGAATGCAGTCCCTCTGCTTCATATAAAGGCGGTCTCTCTCCGCTACAAATTCATCAAGTCTCACTGGTGCGGTCTCTCCCTGCTAGAATGCTCTATGGCCATAGGCGCGGTCTCTCTCCGCTTATACATCAATACTCATAGTGTAGGCATGTCCCTCTGCTTCATATTCATCAATTTTCACAATGCGGTCTCTCCGCTTCATATATATCAATTCTCATAGGCGCGGGCATGTCCTCCGCGACTTTTCCATAACAATTCTCATAACTTTTGGGTACCCATATGAATTGACATGTGTCATAATAAAGTGAGACTTAGAAATATGTCTTACTATCTTATACTCAGAGATTCAGGAACATTTAGATCAGGAGTCTTATTGTTTGGTCTTGTGCTTCCATTTCGCTTTTCCTTTCATTGTCCTTCTGATATGGAAGTCTTCCACTATTTCTGCTGGGAGAAAATCCCATAGGACCTATTCACTTTCTGTGACACCTACATACCTGACCTTGTACAATTTACCCCTGTAATCCAACATACATTCTCTATTGCTTCAATTTGTCTGTCCTCTGTTGCAGGACTGGTTCCAAAGAATGGTCCCTGCCAAGATTTATTGTATTTCCTACTTAACCTAAAACAACTATTTTTGTTTGTCTGTCACATCAGTTATAGCTGACATTAAATTGTCAACACCAGATTTAGTTAAGGTATCTGGAAACATACCTGGGTAGGTATAACTACACCTGTGGTACCACCTGTGATTTCCTGATCTAAATCATATCACATATTGATACACCTGGAATACCTAATGGTGCACCTGTGGGTATACCTGAACACTCACCTGTAGTCATGTGTCACCCGATGACGCACCTGTAGTCATATCAGTGACACTCGAAGACCTACCTGTGTCATCACCAATAGGTACAGTGTGTATGTGTACATCATTAAACAATCTGACGTTGTCACCTGCTCCATTAACAGGGTACACAGATAGATGGGCCATCAATAGGTGAGCCAGCCTGTAATGACAGGTCACTTTGTTTATCCGACACGGAGGCAAGTTACCATGTGTACCTGAGTGCATGGCCAAAACCATATCAGGATTTGTCACATAGTCTTCAACACTATATCAATCAAATAAAACTGTCACCTGTGTCGACTTGTATAATGTGTGTGCTGTTTCCAGTATTGGTCTCACTATACATGTTAACAAAAACAACTTTCTCTATTACCCATATTCCTACCAAAGCAGGTATTTTAATTTCTCAACTGGTAGTGTTTATCAATCTAAATGATGCTATTAGATTTATAGGTAAAGTGATACCTCTCGTACCTAACACATGTAAAACTTTTGTAACAGACTCAATTGGTTCAATGACTCCTAATTCAGTGTCTGGGTTATTCACATAAACATGTAATAGTGTTTCTATACTGGACACTGGAATTAGCAAAAGAAGCAATAAACTTTGTCTCTGCAAGTCCTTAAGCGTAAGTTACTGAGTCAATCCATTGCGACTTAAGTCAATGATAATTTTCTGTCTCTGAAAAAAATGTAAACTAACAATGCATCAACAGATATGTTGAATGTACATGAAATGCTTGATGCTTGAGATATACCTAAAACATTTAAGTGATTCCAATCTGCTCCAACCAATGTCCTTGCACCTTGTTTTGCAATAGGAAAATAGTTCTCATTCTTGTTGAATGAGAAAACATCTGATTTCATGCAGCTCAAACTGGCACCTGAGTCACATAGCACATTGTATGATTTCCCTGAAACTTAACCCTAACACTGCTATGGGATAGTCCATCACTACATGTTAAAATAACAACATCAATATTCTTACTGTCATTTGGATCTTGATCATCTACAATTGTAAATGTGTACCTACCGATCTTAATGGCATTATCATGAACGTGTGCTAATTCGTCAGCAGGTTAACACACTCATTTAGCATCACACTCTGACTTTGGCAAAAGTTTGGCTCAGAAAAACAGAATCAGCTAATGTGGCAATCCTACCACATCAATAACATTGTAATATTCTAGCAAACTCAGACATACTAAAATGTGTCCTACCGCAACCTCTGCATATCCTCTTAGGATGTGGCATCTGTTTACCATCCATATGGTCCATAGGGGTTCATATGGTCCATAGTACCCAGGTCGGTCTATGGACTTCTGATACAGAACCCTTGGTTTCTGTCCCTGAGAGCTATAAAAGTTCTGTGTCCCACTAGGCTCTTAAGGTCTTCCATAACAGCCACAAGATTGTCTGAGGAGAGCGACTTGCTACCAAAAGCAGCATCCGCCATCCTTGCACTCTGGAGTACCTGGTGCTTTGTATCGTGAGGACTAGTTAGGATAATCTGCTTCATCTGAGGCTTGGAATGCCTGATTACAACGTCCTTAACAAAGTTGTCGTCAAAACGATCAAGACTCCTTGCCTCATGTTCAAGGTCTTGTAGGAAGTCCTCAAATTCTCAGAGTCTTTTTGCTTCCTACTGTACAACCTATCTAACCTATCATAAAATTTCACAGAATTTAGCTTGTACCTAGCAAGAAAGGCAGCTTTTACTTCCTCCCAAGAATCATCCTCAAAGTCTTTTGCCTCAAACCATTTAAAAGCATTGCCATCTAACCACTAACTGAAAGCTATTTTCTTGCCCTCATCAGTATAATTGTTCAGAGAGGTAAACTTTCCATAACATTTCAACCAAGCACTGGCCTTAGCTGATTCACTTCCATCAAATTTCTCAAGATTGATGTTACTAAGGGCAAATGTATTAGCCAATGTACAAACACTTCTGTCTAGTCTGTCTGGGTTATCGTCACAATACCGTGATAAGAAACTAGACTGACCCTCTTTCTTAACTTTAGTCACTCCACTCTCTTCATTGACATACAGCATTTTGAAATTAACAGTTGTGTCAACAGTAGACTCTCCAAAACAGTCTAACTCTTTCTGAGAAATAGGAGAAATAAAAGAAGCACCCCTTTCACTAATTGGAGATCTAACAACTCGCTCAGTTAAAGTAGCAAAACTTGGTGAGAATGCTGGCAAATCAATAGAAGCATGAGCATAGTTAATGGGAGTAGAAAACTTAACTACTGTACCCTTATCATCAGATGACATGACGCGATATAACACATAATTGGTACAAACAATAGTAACAAGATAGATAAATGTCAGATTCAGAGTCTCACAGAACACAAACTAAACAGTCAATGCACACTGAAGAAAGTTACTAATCACACAAGTAGGCTGCTGGGGGGTCTGTCCCGCTGAAACTGTCCAACACCAGGAAATCAATAACACTGTAGTGGTAGTGACCACACTGTCCTGGAATAAATAAGTCCCGGGGCCCACAGATTTAATGTTCACTGTCAGGCTCGGGAGAGGTCCTCACACGGTTGAAAGGCAAAATGCACCTATTTCAGTAAATCAGGACATAACCTACCATGAATGGCAACAGTCTCTTCCAGGTCCACATAGCACATGCCCATAGCAGGAGATGGAAACAGTTCACGTACCTCTCCTCATTAGTTGCAAGTCCAACAGAATCATAACTTTTCACACACCATGTAAAATTTGAGCACTGTACAGAGAACTTAAGGCAACTCCACCATCTGTTACCTGAGGGTGTCGGAGTGTTATACCCTTATTCCCTAGGCAAGCTGTCTAGTCACTCTGGTTCTGGGGATGATGTAGCTAAGATGAATAGTGAAAGATAAGTCCGGTATGGTGTTCAAGTCCATTTATTTTGGAATGAATTCTTTCACAAAGGTCCTCAAATATTTCCTAGCTTTCCTGGTTTACATGCAACACAGATTCACAAATCTCCTGGAAGAACTTGTTGGTTTCTTGCACAACTCCTAAAGTTACAATTTCATCTGAGCCATTCTCTCAATATACAGAGAGAACCTCTCAAGTCAACGGTGGGGCCCAGAATCTCTTTGGTTCCCCCCGAAAAGTGGGAAAAGTCATCTTTGACAATTTTAGGCTCCTCCCCCCGAAATAATGTCCTACCTCATACAAAAATGACTCATATCCAATCTTGATAATTAGTTACTTTCATTAGTCCCTTTCGGAGACTTTATTTGGTACCATCAATTTTTTCCAGTGATAAAATGACATTGCCAGTTATCCTTAAGCCATACATCAACCAAACCATGACATATCTAACTAATATCTCAGACTGGTAGATACTTAATCAAATCATTTCAGATCCTATGCATGCCCCTTTATTGACAAACTGACCAAACTGACCATCTGTATCCCAAATGTTCATCCACCCAATTTGTGTAGAAACACCAGTTTGAACGTTTCACCCTCATTTATGTCAATTCAGAGAAATTGTTATTCCCCCAACAAAAGTGAATCAACAACAGTTCGGTCAGCTTGGTCAATGCACTTTCCCAGCACATTCACCCTTCTTAACTTGACTTCAAATTTTCCTTAAATATTTATAAAATATATATAATGTTTTCAACTCTAAATATCCTGGTTATAGTACTATTATCCAAACTTTTTCCAGTGATTTTGGGAGGGATGCACATTAAACGTGAGCATTATATTTGAATAGTGCCATGTCATTACAAGTTGTGAGGAGATAATTTCAGTCTTCATGGAAGGTTTGTTAGGTAGTGTAACCAGTAACCATACTGAGTATACTACGCTGTGGATATACATGTTCGATAACTGTCATACAAGATAACTACAAGATAACACTGTTTCTTTGTTCGTTCTTAATTTTGTCAGGGCATTTATGTTTAAAACAGACTTTTTTTCGGTAAAATAGGTGCTGGAGTATGTTGCACGAATACAACGTCCGATTGTTGATACAGATGGAAGCCAATGGTCTTCACTTCTGTAACTAACCAAAGAGTAAAGTTCTTAACATGTTATATAGAGATCAAACCTTTCTTTCCTTCTTGCCTTCCGTGTTAGGTCTGGGTTTTTTTGTTCTGCACTTCATGTTGAGGTTCCTGTACCTATAATGATACAAGGTTAGTTTAACCCGGCTGGATGAAGTATAGCACCATGGTTTGGGCCGTCCTCACCATGGTAACGAATTGAGTATAAAAAGAAGCAATAACCTGAGTATACGATGCACATTTACCTAACAAGTTGAGAGAATAAAGGAGTATTTACCTGTCACGTTGAGTATACAGAGGAGTATTACCTGACATGTTGGGTATACAGAGGTGTATTTACCTGTCATGCTGTGTATATAGATAAATATTTACCCGAGGTTTTCCCCAGCTTACCATTCTCTCCGCTGCTGCCCTTGCATCTAAAACCAGAAATACAGAGTGTCAATGCGATATGAAGTCATGAACTGGCAGCATGTTTGGACATAGAGTGTTATGTTCGAGTTGAAAAACGTGTTGTTCAAATGAAAATTATGATTGATGGTGTACATGTTTTACAATTACACTGGAAATATTTCATTCACTATACACTAACGTTTCATGTAAATGCCAATTTCCAAGAGCAAACTAAAGACCGGCAAAGTGGCAAACGTACATGTGTTTATCTGAGAAAATGTCCACAGTAAGACCTATGAATAGTATGACCAGAAATTATTGAGAATTTTAGGAATATGTTTAATTGTATTTCTAGTATAAACAGTCTTGACCAGCTATCAAGTGCTTGGTTTCATTCAAGAGAGACAACTCCATTAATCATTTTTCATTAGTTTGTGAAGAGTTATCCCCCTTTGTTTACTTGCTAGCAGACGACATTTTCAGTGATCCTCAGTATGGATGATTTGGAGAAGAGAAAGTTGATTTTAGAGTATTATAACAAGGACATCAGATCAGCTAAAGTGATTTCAAGTAGAACAGGCATCCCTTTGTCTACTGTTTATCGTGTTTTCAAAAATATTGCAAATGGATATGGCATTGAGCACCAGGGAGGCGCAGGTAGGCCCAGAAAATTTACTGTCGGTGACAGGAGGCAGCTTGGTATTCTTGTTTCTAAAAACAAACGAAGGAGTTTAGAAAACTTAAGGCTGGATATGATTGATAGAGGAACTTTGGCTGTCTGTAAGGAGACAATGAGAACTGAGCTGCATGCAGTGGGTTGGCAGAAAAGTCGAGGAATTCCATTACCGATAATGAAACCTGAACAAAAGGAGCGAAGGTTGAACTGGTGCTTACACCATAGAAATTTTAACTGGGACAATGTGATTTTCTCAGATGAAAGTTCTTTGTGGCTGTTTCCTAATACACTGAAATTTTGGACCAAACAAACTGAAAAACCTTTGTATCAGCGTACAGCGTACAGTCAGCGTATCAAGTACAGTCCTAAATTTAACGTGTGGGGTGACATATCTATGTTAGGGGCAACGCCCCTCTGTGTATTTGAAGGAAATATGACCAGTGAGCGGTACACAGATATTCTAGAGGAACATTTACTTTCATCTGCTCACGTGTTCTATGGACATTTTTGGATTTTCCAGCAGGACAAAACATCGTTCAAAGCGTTCACAGGCCTGGTTTCGGACCCAAAATATGACATTATTAGGTTGGCCAAACTATAGCCCTGACTTAACTCCAATAGAAAATGTTTGGGGACTTATGAAGGAAAGTGTCAATAAGAGAAATCTGACAAATATTGCTGAAATGAAAGAAGAGGTGATCCGATATTGGACAGCATGGACCACGACTTTCTCACTTCTTTGATCAGTAATATGCCCCGCCCCATGAAGCCTGGATTGCTGCCCATGGTGACTTGACAAAATACTAACTGTTCACCTGTCTTTGAATCTAGAGTTATGTTCTGCTAATATTCACTCATTCACGTGAGTAATGAGTGAAAAATATAAGAAAATTACTATCTTTAAATTCTTAATAATTTCTGGTTGTACTGTACATCTGACAAATAGAAACATGTACTGCCTCGCTTATAACGTGGAGTTTGTACGTATAAGAAATACCTTTGAGTTGTCTCATATCCTTGTCCTTTTCCTCGAGCACCTTGTCCTTTTCCTCGATCACCTTGAGTAGGATTTGCATCTGTAATCAAGAATCATGTCATCATTTACACTAAGGAACTGGTTCACTCATAAATGGACACATTTTTTCATATTCTAATGGTGTCAGTCAATGACTTCTTTGGTTTTCTAAGTTTAGTTAAGTTAAGGTTTCTAAGTTTTTATAAGCTACTAAATGTCCTTACACTTGTGTTTCAACCTTTTGTAAATTACAGGTTTTCTTTGCCAAGATTTCCAAACCACTCAAGTCATTCATGCAGTATGTGTTAGATACATTTTGCAAATAACCAAGACGACAGGGTGAATATCGAATCAAACAGATTATATCGCCATTTCAGGTGACATGAGGTACTGACTGAAATAACTACAGTCACCTGGTAAATATATGCTGATGGGGGTGAGTTTTCATCATTAATATGGTGAGGTATTTGAAGTAGTACTTGCCTGTCTTTGTAGTTCTTCTCTTTCTTTCCGGTAATCTGAAGACAATGAGCGTAAGTTATCATTTGTTTCTGAGGATACCATACCTAACCCGTCCACAACCCTCTGATAGGGCAGCAGGAATTGCACACAATCTCATGTTAATGAACATAATTTTGATGACTGTAGGCATGTAAATCAACGGGATAATCAAATGCATTTTTGCTTACACATGTATATTCGTTTGATATAATTGTGTGTCTTTTTGTATTATGCATACCTTCAAATTGTTTTGCTTGTTTGACTTCAATATTCTGCATCTGTAACAACATTAGTAATATATGATATATGACGTTCATTTGTCAGGTAAGCTCATACATATGTCAAAATATAAATTTTACATAGTGAACATGTGGTTATAATTAAAAATATTCTTTGTCTTCGTTTGAATTACTTCAGTCAGCAACAGGGAGTCTGTTGTTAAAAGATGATATATTTTAGTGTGAATTGGGCTTTCTTTCTTTGAAGCCCCACTCAGCAATATTCGACTTATATGACAGAGATCGGTAATGAATAATGTCTGGAGCAGACAATCAAGTGATTAGCATGACGAGCATCGAACTCCACAAATAGGATATACGGACACGCATCATCCATGTGAGGTAGTCTGGCCATCCGATCTTGTTAACTGCCTCATATGACAAGCATCGGCACAGAATGCTTAAACAAATGTTGCTAACTTCAATCTTAAATAATGATAATGAAAACGATACTTGTGAAACCACAGACATGGCAGTAGGTTTAGGGTATTAATGGTGACAGCACTGGTTGAAAATATTGATGAATGAGTGAGTGAGTGAGTAAAGTATTACGATGTTTGTCGCACTTCAACTATCTATACAGCCTCCGTGGTGTAGTGGTTAGAGCTACCGCCCGGAGAGCGGTAGGTCGCAGGTTCGATCCCCAACCGCGTCATACCGAAAAACGTTAAAATATGGTTCTTGTTTGTCCCTGCCTGGTGCTCGGCGTTAATGGGTACAACAAGGACTGGTCGGCTCGGAGACAGTATAATGTGTCTGAGTGGGGTATTCATTCTTCACTGCGGCATGGTATCTCAGTGGGCTAGCACTATAAAACCAGCTTAAGTCTGGGCTAGTACAAGCAGGCGCACATACACATACACACGCATACACGTCGTCATATGAGCGAAATATTATCAAGCACGACGTTAAACCCAATTTCACCTCACCTCACCTCAACTATTTATACAACAGAGGAAGACAAGCAATAAGAATCGAATCCGTGCTTTGAGCTAATGCTTTGACCACTACCCCTACCTCCAATATGGTTCATGATTGAGTTGCTGAAGAGGGAAGGGAAACAATATTTGTTGTTGTATACATCAGATGAGATCGGTTCCCACTTATATGTATTTGAATATAGTTATTCTATATCACAAGCGTCCCAAATGCAATACAATCTGTAATGGTGGTGGCCGAAGGAATGTTTAACAAATCTCTTCCGATAGCCAAACAGTCAATACAAACTATAATTGCATGTTGGATCCTCTTCAAAATACAGGCGGTGGGGTAGCCTTGTGGTTAAAGCGTTGACTCGTCACGCTGAAGACCCGGGTTCGAATCCCCACATATCTACAATGTATGAAGCCCATTTCTGGTGTCCCCCGCCGTGATGTTGCTGGAATATTGCTAAAAGCGGCGTAAAACCAAACTCAGCTAGTCAGTCAGTCTTCAAAATACAATATGATGTTTTATTTCTTTACCTAAATGCCATCTATTCTCAGTCTTAAGAAAACCTGCCCTTTGTGTCATATCATTCTGAGCAATGACAATTATTTCCGAAACCACTCATGCAGTCATTCATGCAGGATTAGTTCCATACAGTGATGGTTAACTAGGATGATATGTTACATAATGGGTCAGACAGATTATATCGCCTCTTCAGGTGCCAGGAGGTAATGACTGATTTATGATGACATAACTCCTGTCACCTGGAGAGTACATGCTGATGGGGATGGCTTTTCATCATTAATTTGGTGGGGTATTTGAAGAAGTACTTGCCTTTCTTTGTAATTCTTCCTTTTCTCTCTGTTCATCTGAAGACAATGAGAGTGCATTATCATTTGTATCGAAGAGTTTATTATTTTCTAAGCCACGAGAGCAGCACGAATTGCACAAAGCTCGTGTCAATGAGAAAAATAACCATAAAACATTTTTGCTAACACATGTGTATTCGTTTGTTATTATTTTATGTGTTTGTATTGTATTTTGCATACCTTCAAATTGGAGTTTTTGTTTTGCTTGCTCGGCTTCAATTTTCTGCATCTGTAACAACATTAGTAATATATGATATATGACGTTCATTTGTCAGGTAAGCTCATACATATGTCAAAATATAAATCTTACATAGTGAACATGTGGTTATAATTAAAAATATTCTTTGTCTTCGTTTGAATTACTTCAGTCAGCAACAGGGAGTCTGTTGTTAAAAGATGATATATTTTAGATTAGATTGTGCTTTCTTTGATTGACGCCACACTCAGCGATATTCGACTTATATGACAGAGATCGGTAATGAATAATGTTTGGAGCAGACAATCAAGTGATTAGCATGACGAGCATCGATCTCCACAAATAGGATATACGGACACGCATCATCCATGTGAGGTAGTCTGGCCATCCGATCTTGTTAACTGCCTCATATGACAAGCATCGGCACAGAATGTTTAAACAAATGTTGCTAACTTCAATCTTAAATAATGATAATGAAAACGATACTTGTGAAACCACAGACATGGCAGTAGGTATAGGGTATTAATGGTGACAGCACTGGTTGACAACAGTGATGAATAAGTGAGTGAGTAAGTAAAGTATTACGATGTTTGGCCAATTTCAACTATTTATACCGCCTCCGTGGTGTAGTAGTTAGAACGTCCGCCCGGAGAGCGGAAGGTCGCGGGTTCGATCCCCAACCGCGTCATACCAAAAGACATTAAAATATGGTACTTGTTGGTCCCTGCCTGGTGCTCGGCATCAATGGGTACAACAAGGACTGGTCGGCTCGGAGACAGTAATGTGTCTGAGTGGGGTATTTATTCTCCACTGCGGCATGGTATATCAGTGGGCTAGCACTATAAAACCAGCTTAAGTCTGAGCTAATACTTTGGGCTAATGCTTTGACCACTACCCCCCTCCTCCAATATGATTCATGAGTGAGTTGCTGAAGAGGGAAGGGAAACAATATTTGTGGTTGTATACATCAGATTAGATCGGTTCCCACTTATATGTATTTGAATATAGTTATTCTATATCACAAGCGTCCCAAATGCAATACAATCTGTAATGGTGGTGGCCGAAGGAATGTTTAACAAATCTCTTCCGATAGCCAAACAGTCAATACAAAATATAATTGCATGTTGGATCCTCTTCAAAATACAATATGGTGTTCTATTTCTTTACCTAAATGCCATCTATTCTCAGTCTTAAGAAAACCTGCCCTGCCCATTCTGAGCAATGACAATCATTTTCGAAACCACTCATGCAGTCATTCATGCAGGATTAGTTCCATACATTGATGGCTAACAACGATGATATGTCACATAATGGGTCAGACAGATTATATCGCCTCTTCAGGTGCCAGGAGGTAACGACTGATTTGTGTGACATAACCCCTGACACCTGGAGAGTACATGCAGATGGGATGACTTTTCATCATTAATTTGGTGGGGTATTTGGAGAAGTACTTGCCTTTCTTTGTAATTTTTCCTTTGCTCTCTGTTCATCTGAAGACAATGAGAGCGTATTATCATTTGTATCGAAGAGTTTATTATTTTCTAAGCTGCGACAGCAGCACGAATTGTACAAAAGCTCGTGTGAATGAGAAACATAACCACAAAACATTTTTGCTAACACATGTGTATTCGTTTGTTATTATTTTATGTGTTTTTATTGCATTTTGCATACCTTCAATTTGTTTTGCTTGCTCGGCTTCAATTTTCTCCATCTGTAACAACGTTTGTATTATGTGATATTTGGCATTTATTTGCAAACCAATAAAAAACATCCACCTCTAACTTATGTCAAAATACAAATCTTACATAATACACGAGTGACTATTATCAGAAATATTCTTTGACTTGAAATACACAATGCCAGTTTAGAAAGTGGTCAAATGTAACATATGTTTTATTTGGGATTACACTTTCTGAGTAAAGTACAGATTCTAGTACTTTTTTGGAGTTGGGTCCCATCCGGGATTCGAACCCACACCCTCAGAGTCAGGCACCTAATCGCCAGCACACAAAGTCATGCGCCTAGACCGCTCAGCCATCGCGGCATCCACAGCCGCGGTGGCTGAGCTGTCTATGTGCGATTAGGTGCCTGACTCTGAGGGAGAGGGTTCGAATCCCAACCCCCCAAAAAAGTACTAGAATCTGTACTTTACTGAGAAAGTGTATTCCCAAATATAACAAATGTTACATTCTTTGACTTCGCGTGAATTACTTTTCAACGACAGGGGGTCTATCGTTAAAATGATATCTTTTCATAAATTGTTTGGATTGTGCTTTCTTTCTTTGACGCCCCACACGACTTACATGATAGCGATCGGTAAAGAATAAAGTCTGGACCAGACAGTCCTGTGATTAGGATGACGAGCAGCGATCTCCACAAATGGGACACACTGACACGCAGCATCCAAGTCTGACCATCCGATCTCGTTAATTGCCTCATATAACAAGCATATATAGTTATTCTATATCACAAGCTTCATCATAATGGAGCGAAAATGCAATAAAACCTATTGGTGTTGGCTAAGTGAATTTTCAAAACAATCGGGTTCAATAGTTGAACATTTAATGCAAAAGTAGTTGCACATTGTCCTCAATACGTTAGTTGTACACTTTAGTAAGGAGACAACGTGAAACAGTCATTGTTGAACATACAATTCACATCTGTACAGATCTGTGGAGTTTACCTACATGTAGATTGAGGTTCCCTTTTCTATAGAGATATAAAACTAAATACACAGGTCCATGGTAGAAGATGATAACACAGGCAGCCTCCAGCCAATAACCACAGGAGCTACATACAAGTACAGAGATTTACACATTCAGAATATTACACATTTGAACTGATCGTTTCTAAACGAAATATGTTGACATATAAAATGACACTTTCAAAATAAGAGCATCAACTTCTGAAGTGAGATGAGATAAAAAGACGATTAGATAGCCATGGGAATATAAAACACATCTTGTTACCAAACCGTGTATTTGGTTGAACTTTTTGGTTTGTCGTTATTCGATAAAAGAGTTTGATGGAGGTAGCACATTACATGTATTATTATTTTTATTATTATTCATTCAAAATCAGTAGATACAAATAACAAACTACAAAATGCAACAGAACTAGTACACAATAAGACAAATTCATATGGGTAAGCATTACACATACAGGAAATTGTATTTTTTAAAAAGTCATGCCAGAAATGCTTGGAAAATGCTTTTTGGCAATCATTTGATAATGGTTGATATTTCAGATTCAAAACTCATATATAATCATTCATACCACCTAGGCTTAATATATATGGCATATGAGTAATCACGATGTACCATTACCATTACTCATATAATATCGAAAAAATCCATGGTAGAAACACTTCAAAGAAACAAAATATACTGTGACCCACCTGGCAGGCAGACAGGGTGACAGCGTTATGTAACGCACGGGCAGTGTATGTCAGGGACCGTCTCAAAATATCAAGTGTCAGTATCACTGCTGGTGAGGTGATGAAATTGCAACAGGTGCAACTCGGCTGACGTTAATGCCGTCCCGCAGACGGTATTCGTCCTCGATTTTGAGAACACGATCTTCAGCCTTTTGCTACACTTCTGGGGTAATTCTCGCAAAAGAAGCATACACAAGCTCTTGAACATCTTAAGGCTTGAATGTGGTATTACTGCGAGCAATAAAGTTCTTACAGTTATCCCAGATCGGCTCGATGGGATTGAGCTCACAGTGCCGTACTGGTGTACGCGGAACTATGTGGCCTTGTTTTGCAGCTAGTACGATATTGCTCATGGTGGGTGTGATGGTACCAGGGACACGCAGGTTATGGTAACTGGCGTTATCCAAAATGATAACGTTTGGTTCGTCCAGCTGCGGAACCAATCCAAAAATATTTGCCCATGCATTTCGCTATGGTAATCACCATCAGATTTCTTGGCCTCAGAAACAAAGTCACAACCCCCAGTCAGTCCCTTGCTACGGGTACCAGCAGACAAGATGATCAGGCGTCTACCTTTGCCTGATGGTAACACTGGTGCCTTTGAACAATAAGTGAAGGAAGTCACATCCGATCGGTTGAGTGATTTTATTACACCAGGTTTCATCAAGGTGTATAACTTGAAACCCCAATTTGCGGTATTATTCAACTGATCCCATGGACAGGACTGAGTACTTTTCTCTAAACACAGCTCTGTCATCTCCCCTTTTGCTGTACCTGAACCCCATTTCTACCACAGCTACAATAAGTATTGTTTTCGAGACATTTATTGTATCTTTGATCTCATCTTGTATTTTAGCACACGTCGGTGGGATTTTGCGTTCATATAGTTTATAAACTGCACGGCGTATGACACCCTTATCAAAGCTATCCAGTTTGTGTTTCCTACCTGATTTTGACACGACCCCTAAGGTAACTGATTTGTTTACAACTTTGTAAACCTGACTATATGTCAAATTAGGGGTTAACACATTCTATAGTAAACCCTGTCATAGCTGACGAGAGGTTTACCCCTTTGTTTCTCCAGTATAAAATACTGGTATACATTTGAAATAAATTTTTCTGCAGAGATATCAAGACTCATGTTGCCAGTTCAGTGCTCATACACGAAGTGAAACTTCTATGGGTGAACAAGATTATCTATGCGATTTGAATTAAGACTTTTTTACTTAATTATTTTGAATATAACTACCACAAGAGTTCCATCTTTTTCACAAATAGATGTTAAAAAAACCCAAAGCTTTTTACAATCATTAATGTAATTCAATTAGTTGAGTCTATTGGAATAATTATAGTCTGTATTTCAAAAATATAGTTTGTACTTAGAATATACTAAGCAGCAAAAGAACAGTCAGTTTGGGGTTTCCTTCGCAGAAACGGATAACTGTTAACTCATTTAATGTTTGGTTGAATATTTTTGACAACATTTTCAACTTTACCTGAGCAAAGACATTCCTTCCAAAACAAGAATGGAACCCAGGAAACGGTCTCAAAAACGCAAACTGATCTCGGACATGGTACGATGTTCTCCATGTTTTTCATGCAACTCATGCTGCACGTGCTGTTCACAAGGACCAGCCCTATAAAATGCACCCCCAAATCTGGTTGAAGCATTCATCTTACAACGTCAGTAGGATGCCGCGACTCACGACAGTTCAGAGGAACCAGGCGCTAGGAAGACTTGAAGCTGGCCACACTGCACAAGCCGTTGCCAGTCACCTCCGGGTCAACGTTCTGACCATTTACAGGCTGCAGCATCATTTCTGGGCCACCAACACAACAAATGATCGCCCCCCTTACTGGCAGACCAAGGGTGACCACAAGACGACAAGACCGCCATGTTGTGCGACATGCTGTACAGAATCCCTTCATGCAGGCATCCGAAACAGCACGCCAGACAGTGGGAACACACGAAAGACCAATCAGTACTGATACAGTACGCCGACGTCTTAACAGCGGGAACCTCCATTGCCGAAGACCTTACCGTGGACCTATCCTCACTCCTCGTCATCGGCGTGAACGTCTACAGTTTGCCCTACAACGCCAAAACTGGCGATACAGGCAATGGAGAACTGTTCTGTTCACAGATGAGAGTCGGTACTGCCTATCCACTGCAGATGGCAGAACAAGAATATGGCAACGACGTGGCCAGTGCTACTCAGACCAGTGTGTTATGGAAAGAGACTCATGGGGAGGTGCAAGCATCATATGCATCGTATGGGGTGGAATAGGCCTGAACCAGAGAGTGGGTCCTGTTGTGTTCCAGAACCTTGGTCAAGAGAGAGGAGGCTACATCAGCCAAGCCCCCAGACCCCACGTCATACCACATTTCGCACGTCACCGGAACAACATTTTCCAGCATGATAACGCCAGGGCCCATACTGCCAGAGCTACACGGGAATTCCTACAGCAGAACGGTGTCAACATTATGCAGTGGCGAGCCCTAAGTCCTGATTTAAACCAAGTTGAACATCTTAGGGATGAAATACAGAGGAGACTGAATAATGTCATACCAAGGCCGAACAAAGCCGATTTATTGCGCCAGACCTTTCTAAGAGTGTGGTTCCAGATGCCAATGGCCTTCATCAATCGATTGGTGCACTACAATCAAAGACGCTGTACTGCAGTTATTGCCGCTCGTGGTGGTCACACTAGATACTGAAGTCAAGGGTCTGAATGGACTGCAAACGTTCACGTAATGTCTTGAAATTGTGCTGAGTTATTCATTGATATGTGTTAAGATATTGTACACTAAAAATGTTTTTGATCCGCTTATTATGTCCATTTCTGTAATGATTTGATTACATCTAATTTTGAATTCGTACTGACGTTTGTTTTGCTGTTGAGTATACTTACGAATGTTGTTAAAACGTCAAAATTCCTCCTATGAAGTCACCCCTCTCAAGTGCATTTTTTATCTCGGGTTTAATATCCAACTGGGCAGAGTCGTACATGTATTACATATGTGCTTTAATCAAATTCATCATATTGATATTGAAGCCAAAAAGCATTTTCCAAGCATTTCCGGCATTACTTCTTTTTTAGTATTACACTGGGAATATATGCAATAGTGATGACTATTCTCTGTCAAATTGTGATATTTTTTTCTATTATTATCGCCAATAAACTTTTTGATCTTGAAAATATCTCCGAATATTTTTTACAAATGTATTTTTTAATACCTGATAGTAGTGTAACCGCCGCTCTGGCGGGATTTCCAAGATGGCAGTACTTCCAGTTTATGCCAGAGGTTTCAAGATGGCGTCACTTCCGGTATCGGTATGCGCGCGTCTCCAAGATGGCGTCACTTCCGGTTCCGATGTGCGTACGCCTTCCAAGAGCGCGTCACGTCCGTTTCCGGTGGGGATCTCGCAAGCGTTGACGTCCTTTTTCAAGATGGCAATGACGGCCAGGACGGGAACAAGCGGGACGGAATGGAATGGAACGGTCGAGTAAGGGGGAAGGAAAGGGAAAGGAAAAGAGAAGGAAGGAAAGGGGGGACAAGGAAAAGGGGGAGTGGTGAGACAGAAACGAGGGCTGGTCGAGAAAAAAGGTTGGGTGGCAGCGTTGCAATCTCCCGCCTGCCCGACCGTCTGGGACGGTCTGTTTTGCGACTGGACAGTCAGTTTTAAGAAGTTGCACGTCCGATGGTCTGGCTTTTAAATCAGTGTAATTTTGTAATGTAACCTAACAAATTAAGATCAAAGTTTCTTCCCTGACATAAAAACTGTGTTTCTTTACTCATTCGTCATTGGCCAAGTGATCGAAATTATCCGGTCAGAGCCTGTTTTAGATCTAGGCCTGTACTCATAACAGTGCATTACTGAGTATGCTCTAGACATGCGATGCCTATATCGGTGTAAGGAGCTCTGGTTGAAGTTTACAGCATGGTGACGTACAGGCATGCTTTCCTTATTGTTTGATTATCAGCTTGACCTTTTGCCAATCAAAGCCACGGAAGTTGTGGGCCATGACCAACATGGCTTCATCGTCAATGGTGGGGCCAATGTTCTCGTCGTCCTCGTCTTGTTCGCCTTGTTCGTTTTGTTGTGCTACATCCTCCTCCTCGGGTTCTGGAAAGGAGGAGGAGGAGGGTTTGGGTCGTTTGGAGGCAGGACATGACTGGCATGATGCCTTACGTTTTCTTTGGTTTCTTTTCAGCCAGACGCATCAGCCCATGTCCTTCAAAGTCGTCGGTCCTCAAAACACTTTGATGCGGCTAGGGCCTTCCCCTTTTTTACGCCAGGGACATTTTTCCCACAATTGATCCGAAGCCTGGGAGATACATTCGCCTCACCCCAGATGCACGACACACAAGTTGGGAACATGAATGCCTTGTTCTTGAGTACTTTCAAAATCAAAGAAGACGAACTGCCGTTGTTGCCGTTCTTTGGCTTCATCCTTTTTTTTCACAGTCTTCATTTTGTTTCGCGGGTTGAAGGACAGTCATGTAGCACTTGTGGTTGGGTTCCAAGGGTTCTTTGCAGATCTTACAGTTCTGATTCTTGTGAATGTGGAGTTGACGACATAAGCCCTGGGCTGCTTTCAACTGCGCTGGACTGTGGCTATCACAAAGCCTTTTCCATTCCTTCGTCCATGCCTGGGTGACTGGATCGGGTTTCTGGGCATACCAACCGGCAACCACCAGAGCACGAGCAAAGCAGAGTTGATCCTCGTCATTCTTGATTTAAATGATACACTTCTTATTTTCTAGAAAAGTGTTCAACCCGATGTGGTGTCTTGCTCGTCCATGTCCCAGGCCTAGACGATCCGGATCTTCTAGATGCAGGAAGAATAGGTTCATGGTGTCATCGATATGCAAGTCCTGGTTGCTTTGCTGCACTTTTTCCACTTCGGCCAAGATGTCTTCCGCCTCGAGGCCCTTTCGAAACTCGATGGAGATGGAGGATTCCAGGGCTGGATGCTCAATAACCAATCCCATGTTATCCCCATCCTCGCCGTTCACTGCGTGTCTCAGGTCGCACAAGATGGCCTCAAACTTCTCGGAGCACGACGGGTAGATCTTCCGGTTGTTGACGCTGCAACCAAGCGTCATTGAACGTCAACTTATACCGATTAGTGTTGCCCCGGAACTTCTTGCGGGAGACGAGAGACACCGGCTCCAACTGGTAGGCCACAGGTGCCTCTTCTTCAAGTTCTTCTTCTACTTCAACGTCCATGCGTGGAGACGGCATGGTCAAGAACTGACAAGACTCATGGGTTTTGCCCCAAGGTCTTTCCCAGGAGAGCTCATCCACTCCCGTCACCCTATAACGTCATGGGTTTTTCCTATGGGTTTTTCCCATGGGTTTTTCACAGGAGAGCTCAGCCCATCCAAGGTCATGGGTTACAAAGCTTGAACACCCCATGCCATCCCATCCCATCCCCCCCTCCCCTCCACACACACCCACACCCACACACCCACACATCCACACACCCACACACCCTTTTCTCTAGACCTTCCCTCGTTTCTCTCTCACCACTCTCCCTTTCCTTCCTTCCCTTTTCCTTTCCCTTTCCTTCCCATTCCTTCCCCCTTACTCGACCGTTCCGTTCTGTTCGATCCGCTCGTTCCTGTCCTGGCCGTCATCGCCATCTTGGAAATGGACGTCGACACTTGCGAGATCCCGCCGCCATCTTGGATCACGTACCCGGAACCGGAGGCGCGCGCATATCGGAACCGGAAGTGACGCCATCTTGAAACTTCTGCCGTAAACCGGAAGTGCCACCATCTTGGAAATCCCGCCAGAGCGGCGGGTTACACTCCCCTTGAGACATGGATGTATTTTTACCAGCAAATAGTATATGGCTCATTAGGTCGGTATTATTTCGCCAATTAAGACTGTACATTTTTCAGGATAACATTTTATGATGATTTATGTCCAATATACTCTTTCAATTTCAAACAGAAAGTGTTCACACGTTCACATCCTCAATAAACCTGCATCACATGTTCTGACATTAAATGAGCAAAGTTCATCATCCACTAATTTCATTCTCAGTAATTATTTTTTGTGTATAGACAATATTGTGGATAATTTAAACTGGAAGTCAATCAATTTAGTACCTCTTTTATACATCTTTTTTTTGAAAATATATTCCCATGGGATTGCAATATTTAAGATACTTTGCCATTTTTACATGTGTTTTGCACATCATGTAACGTTGTAACGTCACTCATCTGAGCAGCAGGACTTCACTTTCCAACACTACTTGGTGCATGTTATACTAGCCAGGTTCGTGTAAATGTTGATCAAATCAGGTGTAATAGTCTTACCAATCTGTACAGCTCTGCAATGCGCTCCTTTTCAGCTACAGCAAATTGAAATAAAATAATATTAACAAATACATATAAAATGCGACAAATTATTTTCCTTGTATTTTTTATGTACACTCTCTCAGGTTATCATCCTTGGTGAAGCAACTTACATATATTTCATAGTCAGTTTCCGTCTAATTCGTGCGACTATTTACATAGATTATAGATCAGTATCTTTGCATTGTTCTTACCTTTTACATTAGTAACATATCTTTCCAGATGCTGCATCAGGTCCTGCACCTGTAATTAAAACAAGGATATGTCCGAAAGACAATAGTGTCTGAATGTCTGGAAAATACAAAATATGAGGGGTGTCCCAAAAGTAGTGGGCCTTACTATATTCTCGATCTCCAATGTTAGAAAAGCTTCCATTTTGTTTTGAAGGAATCATAAGAAAAGCCATATCCACAATTTCACATATGTTGGTAAAGTGGTGAACGAGACATTAGTCATCACAGCACATTGGGGTATAATAATTCCTGAAGTTTGTGATGCATTTATTGCAGATTTTGCGGTTTTTTGGGGTACCAAGATAAAGAGTCAAACAAAATGGGGATCGTGAGGCTGGAACATGGCAGACACAATTTGCTTGAGGTTGACAGATAATGTGTAGAAAATAAAACCTAAAAACAGTTGCATTTGTATCATTTTAAAGGTGAGGCCCACTATTTTTGGGACACCCCTCGTACACTATATTTTGTCAAATGGTCAGACGTTGCAGAAGGGTTAGTCTCATTAAACTGAGATATCACTTATGCTTGCCAGATATTCTTCCCTTACTCGCACCGAGGTGGTTAGAACCCTACACCCTGATTGGTTGTACAGAAAGGTTCCCTGACACAACCTGTTTGCATAGGTGTCCTCAGATCTCTGTTGAATATGTCATTGTCATGACACCACAACATGAACCCTTATTGTATTATTTTCTTCGGCTATGTTTAGGCACACTTCTAACCTTTGCTAAATATTTTTTAACAATACATACATATAACTGTTGATGTAGGTACCTGTTTTTTCAGTGTATTCGATGTATCTGCAAATTAAAATAAAACACATGAAGCATCCTTTCAATAAACGCTATACTTTTACTCTTGAGGAGGGTCCTCATCTTTGATAACACTATGAGTACGTGGAAAGACTGAATCGCTAAACATTTGAGAAAATGGTCAAAATAGTGTCACCCGAGATGTGTATGTAGAGTATCTACAGACGGGTATGTATACCTTTATGTTCAAGAGCTATTGCACATATCTCCATGTGAGCCTAATGCAAAGACCTTCATGTGTGGTGACAGATGTTGCTGGCATAAGTGTGGCTGAAGTAGTAGGGGTAGTTACAGACTTCGACAATAGTGTCCTCGAGCTGTCACGTTTACATGGACCATGATTTAACTTGTCAATAGCCAGTACACCGTGACTATAACAAGTGGACCGTGATCTAACTTGTCAATGGCCAGAACACCGTGACGATAACCAGTAGACCGTGACCTAACTTGTCACTGGCCAGAACACCGCGACGATAACCAGTGGAACGTGATCTAACTTGTCAATGGCCAGAACACCGTGACGATAACCAGTAGACCGTGACCTTACTTGTCACTGGCCAGAACATCGCGACGATATCAAGTGAATCGTGATCTAACTTGTCACTGGCTAGAACACCGCGACGATAACCAGTGGACCATGATCTAGCTTGTCACTGGCCAGAACACCGTGATGATAACCAGAGGAGTGCAACCTAACTTCTCACTGGCCAAAATACCGCGACTATAAGCACTGGAAAAAGGCCTAACTTGTCACAGGCCAGAACACCGCGACAGTAGCCAGTGGACCGCGATCTAACTTCTCACTGGCCAGAACACCGTGACGATATCCAGTGGATCGTGATCTAACTTCTCACTGGCCAAAATACCGCGACTATAATCACTGGAAAAAGGCCTAACTTGTCACTGGCCAGAACTACGCGACAGTAGCCAGTGGACCGCGATCTAACTTCTCACTGGCCAGAACACCGTGACGATATCCAGTGGATCGTGATCTAACTTGTTACTGGCCAGAACACAGTGATTATAAACAGAGGACTGCGAACTAACTTCTCACTGGCCAGAACACCGCAAAGATTACCAGTGGAATGTGACCTAATTTCTCACAGGTCAGAACACCGCGATGGTAACAAGTGGACGGTGATCTAACTTCTCACTGGCCAGAACACCCCAACGATAATCAGTGGACCGTGATGTAACTTGCCACAGGCCAGAACACCATGACAATGTACAGTGGATCGAGATCTAACTTGTCACTGGCCAGAACACCGTGACAATAACCAGAAGAACGTGACCTAAACTCTTACTGGCCAGAACAACGCGACGATATCAAGTGGATCATGATCTAACTTCTCACTGGCCATAACACCCCGACGACAACCAGTGGATCGTGAACTAACTTGTCAATGGCCAGAACACCGCGACGATATAAAGCGGATCGTCATCTAAGTTGTCACTGGCCAGAACAAAGTGACGATAACAAGTGGACTGTGATCTAACTTGTCACTGGCTAGAACATCGCGACGATAACCACTGGATCGTGATCTAACTTGTCACTGGCCAGAACACCGTGAGATAGAGATAGATTATCTTTATTTCCTCCAAAAATATGAAGATTGTTTCATGTTACAACAAAGTGTCAAGTTGAATATACAATGACTCAGTAGACAGTTAATTGTGCAGATATTTTAGAATGACAGACTGACATAAACTCAGCCACTAATAACATAACTTCCACCCATTCTGTCGCATTTAAGTTACCAAGTGTTGTACAAGATCCACCAAGTAAATCAGCAATTATTACATCGTCATCATTTTCCCAAAAGTCAACAAAATCAGATATTGATATAATATCACAAATCCTTTCAAACATATCATTTCTCAAATCATTAAGATGTGTACAGGACATAATAACATGTTTAACAATATCAGAAGCTACTATTCCACATATACACTCTCTGGATTCAATCTTTTACAGCCAATGTGAATAATATGAGAGAGTTTGTAAAATTTAGGCTTTTTAATCAAGGCTAGTTCCCACAGTCTACTTGGATTAAAAGGCTCTCGGATAAGGCAATATCTGGAGAGATCCTCTCTCACTGCTATCTGATGACACAACAGACTCTCGTAAGCATCACAGATTCTGGATTTAACAATATCATTCCATTTTGCTTTAGTACATATAACCCCTGTTGTGGTGTATGTATTAACAGTGTCAAACAAGCCATACTTGTTTACGAGCTTAACCATGTACAGGATAGGTGATGGGGATTTACCAATGGTAGTCATACATCTGGATTCAAATAGACGATGAAGAAATAATTGTTTAACAACATAGGCATCATTTAGACGGCAGATTCTACCAAACATAATCAAACAAGATTTTTTTATATACCCTTGAATTGGCAGTAGGCCCAGGGTATCTAGAACCACAGGAGAAGCAGTGCGTTTAGGCAGACCTTGTACCTTTCTACAGAAATACCTTTGTGTTAACTCCAACATGTCCAATTCTTTTGACGTTAAGCTGCTCCAGACAGTACAACCATATAAAGCACATGGTAAAATGACATTGTTCCATATACGACAAGCACAAATAGGATTGAGTGAACCATAGCACAAGCCAAGGTCATGATACATATTAACCAGTTTACGTGCTTTTTCACATGATGACATTGTTCTATCATACGATTTATTACATGAAGACAACTGAACTCCAGCGTACGTAACCGATTGCATGAGAGGGATGGCCACAGAACCAAGATACAGACTAACTGGTGTAAGATATCTGTCTGTATTGAATACAAGCAAGGCACTTTTACTGACGTTATACTTCAATTTCCACTTCAAACCATAATCGTACACAGCTTCTAGAAGAGTCTGAGAGTTATGTGGATTGCTGGAGGTTAAAGTAGTATCATCAGCAAGAAGAATACCTGGACAGTGTCCCCATGGAAGCTTGAGACCTAGACCCGACTTATCTAAACTCTGCATTAGATCGTTGATGTACAGGCTGAATAGCCAAGCGGAAATGACTCGCCCCTGTCCTACACCTTGACTGATTTTAAAGCTATCTGACAGGAAACCAGCATAGGAAACACATGATTGCATGGACAAGTATGACATTCGAAGCAGTCTCCAGATTTTACCTCTTATACCGAGGTTATACAGCTTGAGAAACAATCCATCCAACCAAACTCGATCAAAGGCCTTCTCATTATCGAGAAATACACAATACACTGGGGATTTTCTTTCTCTATAGTATGAAATGGTTTCTATCAAGGTCAGTGCAGCTGTATCAGCTCCAAGATGTTTTCGAAACCCAAACTGGAGGCGATGTGGATAGTTACTTAGCTTAACTGAAGTCCATCTTTCAATTCTAGACAAAATGAGACGTTCAAATAGTTTGCCTATAGTTGATGTAAGGGTTATCCCACGGTAATTGGAGGGGTCGCATTTACTCTTCCCTTTCCCTTTATGTATTGGTATGATATGTCCAATATTATATATCTCTGGGATATACTCATACTTTAAGATGTTATTAAACAGGACACAGAGCTGGGATGTTAGGGACCTGCCTGCATACTTTAAGTGCTCATTACACAAGCTATCAGGGCCAGGAGATTTGCCATTCTTAAGGCGTTTTAATGAAGAGACGATTTCATCACTGGTAAATGGAACATCCAATATTTCTTGGAAAATATCTTGCTTATTGTGAACAATAGAAGACATTTCATCACAAACACCCTTTTGAAAATTATGATCATAATCGTCTAGTTCAGAAGGTGTAGCAAGTTTACAGAAATATTTGCCAAATGAGTTACATATCTCTTGAGAAGTGCTGCTAATTTCAGATTCAAAAGTTAAGGTTCTTATATGCCCCTTTTTATTTTTCAATCTTTTGGTTGTTCTAAAAAAGTCGTTTATGTCCAATTCAGCAGCATTATAAACTTCCTGTAGCTTTTCGTTTTCCGATTTTCGCTTCGATGTTCTAAACATTCTTCTGAACACAGACTTTGCTTGTTTATATTGTACATATGAAACATCATCTGTTGAGCGTGGTTTACCCTTTTCTACCCAAATCTTACGTCTTCTTCGCATATCAACATGGAGGGGTTTAATATTGTCTCTCTTCCAGCCAGGGTTAAGATATGGTCGGAAAGAAGTTACTGGAATGTATGCAACAGCTGTTGCTAGAAGA